TATGTCATCTATACACCTATGCTGCCAAGTGCAACCAGTTACATGAGTTATGCCAGAAACCATACCATCCATACAGTACCCCCGGTAAGAATGACATCACTATTATTGCAGTCATATTATATCATCGACATACACATATGTTGCGTGGCTAAGTCAGTGTCACTGTTTGTTCATAGGTAGAATCGATTCATTTTGAATGAATGTTAATTATTGAAATAATGATGCAATATTTATTCTAACCTGTTAAACGCAGAAACCATTAAGAACCTCGGCGAAACTCACAACCTCGAGGTTCTCAGTGTGGTAAGATTTCTATATATTTGGCATTTATGTAACGAAAATAAAGACACATCTACAAACAGCTGCTTCGTCTTCGTAAACATAACAGAAAACATATCGGAGAGGACTACTTTACCCAAGATGCATTATGACCGGTGAGTACTTTCGCTTTCTCCCGCAAAGTGGCGCTTGTGTGCAATCACAAACGTATCAAGTTAATCGGCATAACATTGTGTACTGTAAGTCATGATTTACCATGTTATAACTCTCAATTACTCTCGTGAATAATTTTGAGTTGACTGTGTTGAGGTTTAGCCGCCGCCAAAGCCTTTGTTTGTATTACTATGTATGTATGTATGTATGTATAACTGGGAATAGCCACAAGTTCCCTTCTCGCTTAACACTACGTTGGCGAGCACAGGCACTTGAAGCGTTTCAATAAAATATAATGGTATGCTAATTAAATACGAAATCTATTTACTTCCAAATTCTTAATGTTTCTATACTCTCTTTCACCTATTATTGCCAACAGTTTCCTGTAAATTCCCTCCAAATCCTACGTCCAACCATACGCTGCCGGCGCCATTGCTTTTGCGGTGCAACTGTTGCACGCTTTAAAGGGACTGACTATACTTTGAACGGCAACTGATTTAACGCGTGGCGCCACAAAAGTCTAACGGCCACTCGCGTAAATTCAAAGTATGACGTCAGGTTTGCATGCAGGCAGGCAGGGGCGCGCTGTAGGTAACAATACTAACATGCGTGACCTTTACGCAAAAACTATCGATCGCTGGTCGAGCGGCTACCAGCCCGGCAGGCTGCCTGTGCCAGCGCAAGCAGGTGTTACGGCGGCGTGCAGCGTA